GTAGCCATGCTGCAAAGAATTCTAACACTATGGATAGTTGATTGAACTCCTATTTTCTTTATGGTTATGAAGAATTCCAGGTGTTGTTATCAGAGTAACTTGGATGTCTACATTATCTTTCCTCACAATTTCTATTTTCAGTAAGTGACTCACATTTTTCATTGTACCTCAAATGAAGAAGTGATAGAAACTGAAATTTGGGATTTATTGTTTGTGTATGTGATTTAATGTTGAAGAATTTTCAGGAGTTCTTGCTTAAGGAATGAAACTGATGTCACTGAATACTAATCTCTTCCCAGCAATTTTCATTCTTTGGATTTATAGGCATATAGCATAATGGTACATTTATTTGAAGATCTGCACCTCTACCAAGCAGATTCAGTTAGTCTGCCCTTGCATTTTTGCAATGCTTTTTTGGCATCTATGTGTAATTAGATTTACCATTCTGTCCAAGAGAATGGCCATCGAGATTCAAATCTCCATTGCTTCTCTATAGTGAAGGCTACTGAAAGTACATCTGAGACACTGAAAATAGATTCATTCTTATTTATAAGATCCTTCAAGATCATGTGTGTCCAAGACATTTTCAAGACTAGCTCAAGTCAAAGCATGTGGTTAATAGGTTTCACTTCTGTGTCTTCACAGAATTTTTCTGTAATCTGGGAAATGCTCATTTCAGAGATGAAAATCAGCTCTAGATCAATGAATATACTCTCTAAAAAGTGATACAGAATGCATGTATGTTTTCCTGTGTTCTCTAGTGTTAAATTCAATGAATTCACTTGTGTACATTATCACATTACTAGAATGTCTTCCATAACTATTACATGATCAGGACAGAAACATGTATAAAGTAATATAAAGAATGAAGAAATTACATGTGGCTGTATAGAATATAAATTCACCTGCATAGTTAGTATGTACACAGATTGACTCCACAAAAGAATCAGCAATTGCACATGAAGTTTCAGTGAGCCAGTTGTGTTTGTTAGATCTATGAACCAAGTGAAAATCAAGATTTATTATGTATGAATCTATGAAGTGGAGACTTGCAGAATTGTAGGGGCTGGAAGGGACGTCTTGAGATCACCTAGTACACTCTGTCCATCAGTGTGTTGAACAATTTTCCATCTCTCATCTTCCATTTTAACAGAACTCTGACTTGTGGAGCCTAGTCACAGAGTCTGTAGGGACCTGAACCAAGTGCCTAAATTAGCACTGTGTGCTAAACACTTCTTGCTCATCTTTGATTGTTTAATACCAACCATCAATTAAACTGTGGCAGTGTGACACTAAAGAAGTGTTGATAAATGTTAAATTTGGTGTTACTGATGGCTATAAAATGGGAAATATGATTGTTTCATCCTTTGAAAAGTTTATGGTGATAATCTTGGTAATGGTGACAAGCTTGTTTTAGTAACAAACTTGTAAATAATTAGATTTATTGGAGAACTAGACAGTATTTTTTTGTCATGCTTAATAAGTGCTATAAACACTAATAACAAACCATTTAAGCAAAACAAGTTGCAGAGAGTGTATAAGAAATAAGGTACTGAAAAGGGTTAAGTACTAGCAGTAAGTCACTGTCCTGAGAAGATGCTTCAGAAAAGAAATACTGCACTGCAAGACATCATGTATTGCATTTATTTGGTACTGCATTGATATTTCTAATGATCTGAAAATATTCTTCTATTTTTGTATTTGCATGGTAATAGAATTCACCATACAAGTATTTGTTGGCCTTGCTTGTAACTACCAGTTTAAAGCAACAAGGACAGTAAGGCTGTGTAGCATCTGGCTCTGCTGTTTTGTTATGTATAAATCATGTAGTTAACTTAAACTGTATTTTGTTTTCTACCTGATCATTACAACTCTTAATCTGGCTGTAACTTATGCAATCATATGTTGTCTAAAACTTCAGCTGCTGGAGCCCTTAAGTCTTTATTCATCAACCTCAAGTTAAATATAAACTGAGCTTTTTAACTTCTGTGAGTTGGTTTTGTAGTAAAATAACAGTCCTAAACTAGCCATGTGGAATAAAACAACAATAATGATTAATATGTCTGGCTGGTATTTAGTATTAGATGGGTTGCATTTTTCTGTTCTTGTAGCTGCTCTTAACTACAACAGCACTAAAAATGGTTGGGATCAAATGGAAGGAATTTTCCTGAGCTAATAAAAAAAATAATTTATACTTCATTTTCACACTTGACAGCTTTTTTCACTATTGTTTTATTTTATTTTTATTTTATACAAGTCTTTGGGAACAAATGTGCTCATTTCTGCTTGTTTTTAGCAATGAGTATTGTTTTATCACTTAAGTAGTTTGAATAGCCTGTGGTTGGCATCCTGTTTAACTTTCAAGTAGTTACTCTTCAGAAATAAATTTTAACATTGAGGTGATCCATGTCTTCTAAAATGATTTCAAAGGAGGCTACTTGGCTAAGTAGAATATGATTGGAAGTCCAGTATTTAATGAAATATTTAAAATTCCTACATTAGACTGTTTTAGATTTTGAGTGGAGAGTAACATCAGATCTTGTTCATTTTGTTCAAAGAGAAGTTGCAAGCTTTTTGGTGACAGTATTTAAAAGTGTGGACATACATGAAGAGTTATTCTGGTGAAGCAATGTCAGTTTTATCTGCTGATAAAGATAGAGAACGTTCTTTCTATAACAGAAAAAGTTCCCAAAAGTTAAATGGTAGTTTTCCACTGGCTTACCTATGTTGTCTGAAACTTCAAAGTGATTAGCAGGTGGAACAGAAATGTTTAATGCTTTCTTAGCCTCTGTCTTCAACACTAATGATAGGCTGTAAGACCCCTGGAGCCCTGTGCTGGAGAACTGTGACTGTGTTAATGATAAACTCCCAACCAACCCCAAACTTGTGTGGGATTTGCTGGTCCACCTAAATGCATAAGTCCCTGTGGCACAATGGAATTCATCTCAGGGTACTTGAAGAGCAGGCTGATGTCATTGTGAGGCCTCTCTCTATTACTTCTCGGCAGTCTTGGGAGTCAGGAGAGGTCCCAGTTGACTGAAAGCTGGCAAACATTGCCCCAGATTTCAAGAAGGGCAAGAATGGAGAGACTGGTAATTACAGACCTGTCCGACTCACTTCAGTGCCTGGTAAAATTATGGAGATAATTCAGGGATTTACTGAAACGCCTGAAGGACAATGCAGTCATTGGTTGCAGCAAGCTTAGGTGTGTGAGGGATAGTCCTGTTTAACGAATCCAATTTCCTTTTATGACAAGGTCACTCACCTAGTTGACAAAGGAAAACCAGTTGATGCTTTCTTTTGATATTTCAGTGAGGCTTTCAATACTGTTTCTCACTTTATCCTTCTGGGCAAAATATTCAGCATGCAGTTAGACAAATATGTAATGCAGTAGGTGAACGACTGGCTGATGTGGGGGCTCAAATGATTAAAGTAAATGGGGTTACATCACTTGTGACTGGAGACCAGACACAAATGGAGTTATGCAGGGTTCCATTTTGGGATCAGCTCTCTTTAGAGTTTTCATCAATAACTTGGAAGCAAAAGTTAGAAGTATAGTAAGTTAGTTTGTGGACACATGAAAATGGGAGGGCCTGTTGTCTTCCTTGACAGTCTGCAGAGAATTACTGACAAATTATGGGGCTGAGCAGCTACCAGCTGCATAAAATTTAACAAGAGCAAGTGCTGGACTCTGCACTTGTAATGAGGCAACTCTGCATATATATGTACAGACTGGGGAGATGACAGGCTGGAGTGAGGCCCTCACAGAAAGGGGTCTTGTGGTTCTGATTGACAAGTTGAATCTGAGTCAGCACTGTGCCCTGGCAAAAGGGCCAACCGTATCCTGGGGTGCATCAAACCCAGCATTGCCAGGAGAACAAAGGAAGGGATTGTTCCACTCTGCACTGTGCAGGCTTGCCTTGAGCATTATGTGTGGTTTGGGGCACCACAATGTATGAAGGATATAAAACTGTTAGAGTCTCCAAAGGAAAGCTATGAATATGGTAAAGGGTCTGGAGAACAAGATGTGTATGTATGATGAGTAGCATCTGAGGTCCCTTGACTTTTTCAGCCCAGAGAAGAGGAGGCTGAGGAGAGGGTCATTTGGGTGTTAGGAAACAATTCTTCACCAGAGGGTGGTCAGGCAGTGGAGCAGGCTCCCTAGGACAGTGGTCACAGCCCCAAGCTGCTGGAGTTCAGGAAGCGTTTGGACAATGCTCAGACATAGCGTTTGAATTTTGGGTGGTCCTGTGTGGAGCCAGGAGTTGGACTCAGTGATCCTTGTGGATCTCTTCCTTGTATATTCTCTGTATATTCACTTTGTTGTCTTTTATATTAATTTTTAGTATTTTTACGCAATGAGAATTTCAGCTGGTTGTTTGGGGTGCAGCAGAAGGGGACAGGAAGATCTTTGTTATGTCACTGAATGGCCTGTGGAGTGCCAGCAGCTTCAGGTCACTAAGCTTTCAAAATAGCACTGGTGCTGAAACTGGAAATTTAAGCTGAAAACTAGAAACAAAATTCTGGCTTCAATCTTAAAAAATTTTTCCTCAGATGTTTATGCCAGCCAGATACAATACGCTTAAATACAAATAGAAGTGCATTCTTCTCAGATGAACCTTTGTATAAAGAAGGCAAAATAACTTTAAGACTGACTAAAAACTCAAGATATACATTTTAACATTAAAACAAATTCATAGTGATTCTTTTTCTGAGGTAATAGTCTTCAAGGCTCCAACTCTGCTTTTAACAGTATTTTTCTTGATCATCTACAGTGCTTGTTCCCTACACTTTCTGTTTCTTTAAATGAAATTTGGGCAATGAACAAAGGTTTTTGCCATGAATGTCTTAATTTTTTTAGCTTGGGTTGGTAGGCTGCTTCTTCTGTATTGCATTTTCATTTTGATTGTAGGCAAGCCATTGCTGCTGAAAATAGCTCAAATGTGCTTTGAACAGAAACAGCCAGCAGCTCAGCTTCTTTCTTTCTCTTTCTCTTGCAGACTCTTGCATATGAGTTTAATTTTTTGAGAGAAACCTTTGTAAAGGGCTAAATAAACAAGATCTGTACATACAGAAAGCTTTTACTTCCTCTTCACTCCTCTGCACTTGAGACGCAACTAAACTTGTCTGTCTGGTAAGTCATATTTTTCTAAAGGATTTGTCTTTTTTCCTGTCCTTACCACTTGCATTCTTGAGTTTCTCATTAGTGTTCAGAGAAAATCAGTTTCTGTTTGTTGATAGTTCTGCATACAGTATGTGTAGAAGTGTGAAGACCTCTATGAAAGCATTACTGCCCTGCTTTTGCAAACCTGAAAATACTACCTTTTAAGTCCATAGGATGCTCTGGGATAAGTAAGTTTGTGATTTTTGTTGATCAAGTAGTTCATTTTCAATTTGTTATAATGAGATTGTTTAGTATTTTAAAGCAGAATTGGTGATTATTCTTTCCTGAAATTCTTTACCTATTTGGATGTTCTGTACTTAGAGAGTGAAATTGAGGACTTTTTATTTCTTTGTGTTAAGTCAGATTTCAGAAATAACCTTCCCGGCAATTCATTCATTACTCCTTGCTTGCAGGTTAAATTTTGTGTAGATAAAATAGGTACATGTTATTGATGCAGCTGTATTTTTTCTTGGTAATATGCACCTATGTCATAGGTTGGCAAACATACTTATCAGTCATTAATGTAATTCTGAAACTGTTCCATTCGTGATGTTTTTTGGGTTACGGTGTTTCTTCACTTTTTAACTTTACTTTTTAACTTTTTAACTTTACCACCAAAGTTGGTTTTGTCATTTATTTTCTGTTTTCACTCTAATTTGTGATTCAAACAAAGACAACATCTGAAGAGCAAAAGTGGTTTGTTTTGGTTTTCTTTTTCCCCTCAATGTTATGGCTTTAAGCAGTTGCTTAGGATAAGTGGCAGCCTATGTAAATCCAGTCTGTCTGATCACAAATACTGGCCCTTTGGTTTACCACAATTACTGTGTTCTTGCATCCTGCATCTCTTAGTTCTGCATAGTTCATTTTTCAGGCTTTGCTATTGCTTTAAAATTAGTTTATTTCAAAAACATGCTGAAAACCAAGTCATTTTTAGAAGTAGTTCTACATTTAATGTAAACCATCAATTCTGCATTTTATTTTCATAGGAAAAGAAAAAAGTAGATCAGAATTCTTATATAAAATGGAAAATCCCCAAACATTTTATTTATCTAATAGAGAAATTCTGAAGTCTACATACACATTTCATATGGAATATACGTGTGTTTATATATATATATGAAATAAAGAGATCTGTGTCAAGTAGAAATTTTTTTGACAGTTCTTCAAAAACAGTAAAAACAAACCTGGTTGAGTTCATTACAAGAATGTTTTATTCTCATGAACTTCTTTACGGTGAGGGTGACGGAGCACTGGAACAGGCTCCCCAGGGAGGTTGTGGAGTCTCCTTCTCTGGAGACATTCAAGTCTCACCTGGATGCCTACCTGTGCGACCTGGTTTAAGGAACCTGCTTTGGCAGAGGGGTTGATCTCGATGGTCTCTAGAGGTTCGTTCTAACCGCTACAATTCTGTGATTCTGTGATTAAATTCTGCTTTATATTCCTTAGAGTAGCAGATATTGAAGGTGTATTTGTCCAAAACTATAGGACTTTTGTTACCAGTCTCATTTTCTACTTCAAATGAGACACTCTTTCTCCTTTCCTGTCTCGTTTTCAATCAACCCATGTTCCTTTTACTTTAAGATTTTCTCTGGTCCTGTCTTACTGCCACACATAAAGCTGATTCCCTAGTCCTGTAGATCTATCACCCTGTCCTTTTATTTCCTAAGTTCTTTTGAGCATCCAAGTATTCTAGTGAACACTTTACTTATGTTGATGCTTTTCCTGTTAAAACTAGTTTTTAGTCTGTGACTTATTCAGAAGAATCTGAAGCTTTCAGAAGAACTTAAGACCCTTCAGAGGCCCTAGTGTAGTTATCAATTGAGTGGATATGTATATAAGGGAAGCACTGTAAAACTTTGAGACCAAAATACATAGTTGGAAGAGAAATCAGGCTGAATAATAGACAAAATATTTAACCAATACTTTCAATCAAAGCCAACACTTGAATTGTGTAAAGTAAGGGTCCAGAATAATTTATGAATGATCACTTTTTACTTCACATTACTTTAAAGTTGCAATACAAGACCATGTTTTTGTTTGGCATTTAACTTTTAACTGAGTAACAGAACTGACATACAGAAACTTTTATTTGGCATACTGACACAACCCAAATTTTAGCTAAGTGAACTTGGCACTAAATTCGACTAAAGGGAAAGGAAATCTCAAGAGAGCAATGGAATTTCTTTCTTTGCGTAAGTATACCTCTGCATTCATGGGGAACAAACAGTAACATTTTGTGCAGGTTTCTGCTTTTGACAGTGTGTCTTTGTTCACTTCCCAAAGGTGGTGTCAAATACATTGGGGAAAAAAAAAATAAAATGAAAAATGCAAATACAAGAATTTATTTAATTATATGGTCCAAATGAACACTTTAGGTCTGGAACTGACTAGCACTGTTATTGGTAGTTCTTTAAAGGCTTGCTTTCAACAATTTAGATTATATAAATAAATATGCTCTGTCAGTTTTTAAATAGAGGGGTGGGAGGCAAGTTTATAAGTTTTTTATGGAGTTTATAAGCTTTTTATGATAGACTTCTTTGATCAAAGAGAATCTCCGAAACTGTTCTCTTCTTGTCCATACAAAAGTTTCCCAACCAGTATACAATTTTACTTGAGCTGTTATTTCAAGAAATGGCTCTGATAAAGATCTTTGATTAATATACTGCTTATTCACAATGCATCGATGTTGCTTTCACAGGGTGGTCTAAGTTCAAGTCTTTTATTAATGGCAGCTGGATTTTATGGTATCCAAATTGCCCAGTTTCTGATCTGATAGAAGAATTTCAAAGGCATGTGAGTTCAAATTGCATGTGACAATACTGGAGAAGATTAAAAGTGTTTTTGAAAACTGGAGAGCAAAATCTGATGATAAAGGAGATTAATCTGAAATGATCACCTTACAAGGGATATATGGGGATGAATGGATATGTCAATTTTGAAGCACCTGAGAGAGCATGTGTCCTTATGTGAGACTCAGCACTTGTTTCTGCACTGGACTTATGTGTCCTTGCATTCTTCCGAGGTGGCAATAGATCTGTAAAAGATTCATTATGTCATTAGGGGCCTCATTAATTGTTACAGAGGAGTGTGATTTCAATGATACCCTGGCACACTGGTTATCTGCTATCTGCAGGGGAAAAAAAAAAAGCCAATAGAAAAACAATGGCAATGCCTCTGATCTTTTGATAGATCCAGGTGAGCTAGGATCCAGCAGCATTCCCAGTTTCTTACAGTGGCTTGTGCTTATCATCCTTAATTATCATCCTTAATTATCATCATTAATCTGTATTTGAGAAAGAGGATAAAATTAATCACAAATAACAGTAAGCATCTTGTGTTTGGGTTACTAATTTTTGACCACGATGTCAAAGCATTTTGTTGCTTAACCTTTCTAAAAAAAATTTCTCTTTTGAGATGAGCATTTTTCAGATTCAACCTCGATACTATTCATTTTTTATCATTAAAAAAAAATAAGAAAAAAACCCCTAAAAGTTGCCAACGAGAATCAGATTTTTGCTTTTAAACCAAACAGAAGTGTTTTAATTTTCAGTTCTGCCTTGAGCTTTCAATTTTATTTGACTTTGTATTTAAACGGTATTGATTGGTAATAATGAAGTAGTATGGTACATAGTAGAGAATATCATTGTTTAGCCACCTGTGTGATTGTATTACAAAGATAAATGTGCTTATACGTTCTCTCTAAGTAGGCACTTAAACATATATCTAATAAGTATGCTTTAATCTCACATAAGACATTGCCTGCTTATGTTTGTGTGTAAGACTGTGTTTGTCTCTGTATATCAGTGGCTTAAGTATTAGTATGTTTCATTAGTAGCTTACTTTCCTTAATGTTTAATGCTGTTTAGAAGGCTATGTCTTCTTTATTACTGGAGGCAACTTGAGTACTTAGCCTTCCTTGACTCTTGAGATTGTTAATCAGTTGCTCCACAGAAAGGTTTAAGAATTGCTTCATTTAAAAGCACAACTCAATAACTTGTCAGGTTTTGTTTTAAAGAAAACAAACGAAAAAAACAAGTAGGTGACAAATGTATTAGTAGCTCTATCCTTGTGAAGATGAAAGCATCATTCATGAGTTACTGCATACAAGAAGTCTCTGTGTTAGAAGTGCTCCATGAGGAATACTTGCGTAGGATTTCCTAACTTTTGTGATTCTTCTCAATAGATCTAAGAGAGCTGAGAGTTAAGTGCTACAAAATGCACCTGGACTCAGTACGCGACCCCAAATCTCTATCAGTTCTTTTCTTCTTCTGAAGAAAAGGAAGACAAGCTCTGTTGCCCTTGTGAAAGGACTTATCTGAAGGGCATTAAATTTAGAGGCCCAGTTCTTCTGTGTTGATAACACCAAGTCTTTCAGTGCTGTTGAGTCTTATCTGTAGATTTATTTCTTTCTGTGGTTTTTATACCCTTCAATATCTAGAATTCAACATGTAGAAACTTTCTACAATGTTTGTTAACCAAATGAAGGCAATAGGACCTTGCTGTCAGAGGCCAGTGGATTTCCAAATGGTGTAAAGTTACCTTGTGATTTCTACATCCCATTTGGGTTCTGCGCTGAATAAAGCTTTTCAGTGTTGAAGAGAAGGCTGATGGTTGATTTTTGAAAAATTACAGCTCTGATCCAAAGTAATAATTTAAAATTGAGAATGAAACTTTAAACTTCGTTAAAAATGAAGAGATTTAGTGAGTATTTTAAGCTTATTATTATGGCTTAGAGTCTGGGAACATTCTAACATACTCAAAGACTGCTGCCTTTGTGAAAAACAGTGGTTAAAACTGGCCTTAGCTTAATTCCGCTTCCAGAATGCTAGTACTGAATCTATTTGAAAAACTTTTCATAAAATATTAAAAATAAAAATAAACATAGTCTAAAAACCTTCTTACAATGTAGGAACTGAATGTTTACACCTAGATTCTCACTTCATACTGTATCTCCTGGAGTAAATATCAGT